CCAAGCGTTGGCCAATGGGTATCAGTCGGCAGTGGCCCCACCCCCCATGTCACCCCAGGCTGGCCTTCTGAGGCTTCCAGCAGGAAAACCCCCGCTTGCTGTCTTCTGTTTTCATTCAGTGTTGTCTGATTACCTTTTGTTGGGAACAGAGGGGACTCCATCAGTGGGTACTGCTTAGTTGCGCTTAATTGCTGAAGTGAAGTGAGCATTAGGGCAGGCGGCGGGCGCTAAACTCTCCTGTGTGAGAGAAAGGCATCTCCAGTATGTTTGTGGGGCTGGGTTTCTCCAAGCTTGGGTTTAGGACATCAGACTGTGGGTCATGGAGAAATGGCCCAGGAGGGTTCGTCAGGGGCTGAGGGATGTCATCCAGCCGATCCTGCTTCAGATGATGGTCCTGGACAATGTCTGCCTGCTTACTGCAGTCCTTCCCAACCTTTTCCCTGCCACAGCACACTGTCCTTAAGGTAACTACCCCAGGGCACGCCATTGATTAACACACACCGCCGACTGGCTCTTACCAGTCCCGCGGATCACATTGCTCTTAACGGCTGGTTCAGCACCAGGTACGTTTTCAGAAAGTTGTCCATCTTGTCTTTTTACTACAGGGCGGTTTGCAGATTGTTGAACATGCAATTATAAAGCGGCCTTATTCTCAGCTGCATTTTATTACATCGTAAGTGCACTGAAAGCCTATTGGACAATTAAATGAATTAAAAGTTGCATATACACAAAGCTTTTTCTTTGTATAAGCCACCTAAAATACCTTCATAATTAAACTATTAGTACATAAGCTTTTCTGTAGTTATAAATATACACACTCCAAAGCGAAATTGCACAACATTAAGCCTGTTTTTTTTTTGCCCAGGAGAGAGTGTGTGCGCGTGTGTATGTACAGTATTCACAGCACACCTGACCGGTTCTAATAGCACAACTGATGAATATACCACCATTGCGCATTCTGACAAGAGGATATTCACAGCCTGGTCGGGGCGTGCAGTGCTGCTGTGCTTGGGATCATTGTCCTGTTGCATGACCCAGCTTTAGCTGTTATACAGATGGCCTCACATTTGACTACGGTACTTTGGTTCATGGTCAGACTCATTGACTGCAAGGTGCCCAGGTCCGGTGGCTGCAGAACAAGCCCAAATCTTCCCTCCACCACTGTGCTTGACAGGTGTTTATGCTGATATTCTACGCTTGGGTTTCGCCAAACGTGACGCTGTGCATCATGGCCAAACATCTCCACTTTGGTCTCATCTGTCCAAAGGACGTTGTTGCAGAAGTCTTGCGGTTTGTTCAGATGCAACTTTACAAACCGAAGCCGTGCTACCATGTTCTTTGTAGAGAGAAGAGTCTTTCTTCTGGCAACCCTTCCAAACAAGCCATACTTGTTCAGTCTTTTTCTAATTGTACTGTCATGAACTTCAACATTTAGCATTCTATCTGAGGCCTGTAGAGTCTGAGATGCAGCTCTTGGGTTTTTTGCGGTTTCTCTGAGCATTGCCTGGTCTGACCTTGGGGTGAATTTGCTGGAACATCCACTAATGGGAAGATCGGTAACTGTCTTAATTGTGTTCCACTTATGAATAATCTTTCTCACTGTAGAATGACTAACTTCAAGTTGTTTGGAAATGGCCTTATAACCCTTCCCAGATTGATGGGCAGCAGCTGATGCTTCTCTAAGATCATTGCTGATGTCTTTCCTCCTTGGCATTGTGGTGTAACACACACCTGACTGCTCCAGGCCAGCAATCTGCCAAAACCTCTGCTTTTATAGAGGTTGTCACACATGTTGATGATCAGTTAATCAGGTGCCTTTGATTAGCAGCCTCTGGCTGATACTTACCCACTTAATTCCTATGGAAGCAGTGAAGCTGTGTTCAATTTTTCACACACTGCTTCTGCATTTTGGCTTAGTTTTTATTGAATAACGACATGGTGTAATATGTCATTTGTTGTTGTTCATCTGAGGTTGTATTTACCTAATGTTAAGACCTGCAAAGGACCAGCTTTTTAATGATGTCCTGATAACTAAAGCCTTAGACCTGACGGAGGGTCTGCTTGGCTTACGGTGAAGATTTGGGTCTAAGCACAGGGTCAGCGGTCCTTTCGGCGGGTGAAAAGTGAAATGGAGGCGTGGGGTTAGGAAAACAATAAATGCCTCCATACAAACACCTGTAAGCCATTACGGCCTGTGGCTGGTCTTTAAATGCATGCGGAACCTTTTTTCTTACCCCCAGTCAAAAGTGAACCTATGGGCGTAACCCTCTCTATTTCACTGTCTTCCCCAAACCTTGCCTGTGGCTCAGCGGGTTAGGACGCTGTGCTTGTGATCGGAAGGTTGCTGTTCAAATCCCAGGGTCGGCAGAGTGATGTCACAGTTGGGTCCTTGAGCAAGGCCCTTTAATCTTAACTGCATCAGGGACTGTCCAACTCTGCTTTCTCAAATTTTGGTGGTTCTGTAGTAAACAGTTTCCTTGCTCTTGAAGGTAAATGTACTATGTAAGTATTATTAGCATTCCCTCCCCCACCCTAGGTGAACAAAACCTTGAGTCTATTATTGTTAAGAACCCAAGTGATATGACAACTGTCACACGCATTTATGCAAACTGTTGTTTCTCAGTGTTTTTCTTCTCCTGGTCTCCCAGAATGCTCTCTCCTGTTTCCCTGCCTCACTCGACCTCTCCACTATTCTGACGGTTTATTTTCCTGTCTAAATGGGGGGGGGGGTACTATATCAGCTGTACCATACCAAATACCATCTTCAAAGACCTGTCTGCTCGCCTGAGACAGCTTCCCGGATTTAGAAATGTCAGTGAGATTTCCAATTTGCACTGGGCTTTGGGCAAAAAGTGATTTAATAACCAAACTACAAATGGGCTGTGTTACTTTTTGTGGCGGGGGGCTGGCTTATTTTTATGGCAGAAGATTCTGCATGAAGTGGGGTTAAAACCATTTTTATATAGTGCAGGATGTTCCCCTCTGTTTTGGAGTGGTTCTCACAGATGGAGGCTGCTTTGTGTTGTCCTCTTTGCTGGGCCTAAGTGGGTTTGGAAAGAGAAGGGTGGCGGGTGAAGGGGGTGGGGGGCATCAGAGACAAAACAAAGATGCCTGCTTCTGACTGAGCACATGCAAAAGGGGGGGGGGGGTACCTGCCTGCTCCACGGCTTCCTATCTGCCGCCTGGCCTTTCATCTCCAGGGCCGAGACCCCATCTCCGCCTGGCCCTCTGGGCCCAGGGTCTCCGTGGCGACAGGTTGGCTTTTTAATGTTTTTTTTTCCTAAGCTACCAGTCGTGCCTGGAGATGGAAGCCTGGCTGCCTGGGTCCCAGCGGTGGGTGCTGAGCTCCGTCTCGCGGGTCTGCGCCTCTGCCGAGCCTGACGGCCATGGGGTTTCGGTGGGCCGGGTGGTGCTGACCTCGCGGCCCGAAGAGAGGATTAGGGAACTTCATCTGAAAGCTGCTTTCACACGATTGTGTCCTTTCAGTCGGCTGTAAAATCCCGAATTAATATGGTTTGCAGCTTGCCGGCCACTTTTTGAAGACGCCCGAATTGCTAATAGGTTTATCCTCGGACGGCGGGATTTTAACGGGGAAGAGCGTTGCTCTGCTGCCTGACACAGATCTCGTTTCTCACCCGCGTACGAGAGCTCGTAGCCGAAATGGCATTTAGCGGCGGATTTATCAAGGCCTGAGTCGCACAATGGCTGTTCACAAGACCCATCAGAATGTCTCAGTGTCTAGATATCCCTCCACATTTCCGGGGTGGTCACTATTATTTCACAATTTTGGTGGTCATGTGAAGGGTTTGTCACACGTCTTTGGCTACAAGGATGGCACTGAGGCAGGCTCACTTTTGTGCCGTTGTCCTTTTAGGAGGTGGGGGTAGCGATGGGGGAAATGAGACTGAGAGCTTAGGAGGGTGGGGTTTACCTCACGCTGTCAATCACTGTCCAGTTTAAGCCAATAGGAAGTTTACTGGGGTGCAGTTTCACACTGCATAATAATCCCAGCCAATTCACTGCCTTCTTCCTCCCATCCCTAGGCAAACTGGAGGGGGTACAGCTTTATGGCATTGGCATGAACCTTACCTGGACTGAAGTGCACTTTCTGACCAGTTGGAGGCAGTGCTGAGCCTGAGCCGGCTTCTGTTTTATTAATATTCGTCTTGGGGGGGGAGTTGAGTGCATGCTGCCTTTGAGAATGGTCTCCTCAGATGTTATACGTAGATAAACGTATGACTGAATGGATTTGGACTGTCTCCACCCTGTTTTCAGAGATACAGCAGGACCGTCCTTGGACAGTCAACACCTTACGATAGGCTGCCGAGTTTGCAATAACCTGCGTCGAACATATGGTCCCAGCTGGGGGGGGGCCGAAAGGCCTGTACATGATCCCTGACCCGTGTATTTCAGCCAGAAGTGTTTGGCCTGTATTTGATTCTGGGGAGTTTGAGTTATGATAGGGGGGTAGTTTACGTAATTTAAGTCTAACATAGTGTCTTTTTTCGGGGATTAGAACTGTGATGGAGTGGGACGCTTATGGATGTGTGAGGTCTTGGGCGTTTCTTTGAAGCGCATGAAAACATGCAAGGGATTGCGGAGGGATTGCGAAGGCAGGCAGTCGCGCTGCCTGTCGGCATGCTCCGAGCGAGACCGTGAAGACCTGTGGTTTCGGGGGCGTAGGAATAATGTTTGTGAAGAGATGTCAAAATGGTGGTATGTTATTGTATTTTTTTTTGTATATTCCTTACTTGCCCGTGACGTTGCCTTGCCTCAGTGCTCGTCAGAACTGTGTTCGCGCTCTTTCCCTTCGGCCTGTTCCTTGTGCCACGTCGTCTGAATGCCGTGTCTTAAATGAGGAATGTCCCAATTCTCTTTGCTGTGTGAGCGTGAGGGATGGAGTGTGACTCGCAACATTCATGCAGAATGTCACCCTGAAATGATCTTCTGTTGAATCGCTTCAGATCGACCCCTAATGCTTTTCTCTCGCCTCTTCACAGAGAATATTCAACTCCTTCGTCTACTCTGAGAAGATTTCCAACGGAGAGACTGAAGTCCAGCAGGTGAGCCCCCTCCTAATCTCCAGCCTGTGGGGGGGGGGAAGGGGTCCTAGCCAGCTCGCCATTCACCCTAACCCACATACACCTTAAATACCTGCCTTCGTTTTCCGAAATGTTAATCTTGTAAACCACCTGTCACACATTTAAATGTCTTGCTAAATCTCCTTTCGCCAAGCGAGAAAAATGACTAAGACTCTAAAATGTTTCTCTAACCTAAAGTTTCTCAGTTGTTTGAGCAATATGGCGGAAACACGCGTGTCATCCTGTCCGTAACCTTGATCAAAAGGAAGAAGCTTCCGGAAAAACAATGCTCTGTATCTGTTGAAAACCATACCCACCGCCCTACCCCCTTCCCGCCTTTGCTGTCTGTTAATGCGTCCATGGTCTCTTGTTCGAGAAGCAGCCACTACTGTGTGTAGAATGAGGGGGGTTGGGGTTTGAGTACAGCTCTAACCAAACTGTAATTAGAAGAATCCTGACAGACATTCTCTCTGGGCCCCTGTCAGAGATGAGCTGCTCTTCCCAGCTTCGCTTGCATGTTGTTAGCATGGTAATGGCTGCTGTCCCCAGAGCTGTCAAGTCCCCCCCCCCATTTTTCCAAGTACCCTAGAGCAGCACTGCCTGTGTATCTGCCTCGCAGGCATTCATCAGCCGCAAATGGGGATTTTCCAAACGCGGCTTGCTACTTTTTGTTCTTGCTGGTGATTGGTTGCCTGGAGAGGCAGCCTTTCCAGGGTGACTTTGATTACAGCCTCCTTAGGCTTCGTTCTGCACCCGGCTTGAGAGGCTTCTGAGCTGCATTTGGTTTTGAGCCACGTGGAACGTCATGGACGGCAGTTCTGGCTGCTCTGCTCCTCGTGGTCGGTTTGGTTCCGCTGGGTAGCCTTGTTGTCTCTCACCTCCAGGTCGGGGGTTTGTTCTGCCGCAGTTGGCGCGGGGATTCCTCTGGGTACTCAGGTTTCTCCCTACTGTCCAAAAATAGGCGACAGTAGTTTGGTTCCTCAATAATTGGCCATAATGTGTGTGCCTTACGAAGGGCTGGCACCAGAGGTCGATAGTTCAGGTCCAGAAAGTAAAAATCCAGACCAAGACTTTGCTTTAATCAACCAGTTGAGTACTTTGTGGCTGTGACTCTTTATACTCAACCGGTTGAGTACTTTGTGGCTGTGACTCTTTATACTCAACCGGTTGAGTACTTTGTGGCTGTGACTCTTTATACTCAACCGGTTGAGTACTTTGTGGCTGTGACTCTTTATACTCAACCGGTTGAGTAGACGCTATAATGGATTCATTCTGGCTAACCCTTTTCTCCTTAAAATATAGGAAAAAAACTAAAACCCAGTAGAAATACCACACTAGTCAGTTATGGTGGGACCTTCAAATGGGGGGAGGGGCAAATAAAAGTTAATAAGTGTAACGCCTATAAAAGTCATTGTTCGAACTGAAATGGGCCGGCGTGCTAATTAGCTGGATGCATTTGCTGGGATGCATTTGAGCACCAGTCCTCCCCGATGTGTAGCCGTATGAGTTTGGCTGGCACTGCTGGTTAGCGTGCCGACGAAGGCATTTGGTTATTGTCCTTTTCTTTTCAGAAGGTGACTTTCCGATAAAACCGTTTTGTTTTACCTTTTTGGAGTCCAAGAACAACATCCTGTGTGTTTTACCATTTTGGGCAGGGGTGAGCAGGAGCTATACAACAGCTACACAACTACATGTATAATTGTTAAGAAAGGAGGAACCTAATAAGACTATTCAGGGGGCAGTAAGTGCAACATAAGGGCATTTAAAGAATCGTAGGCGTGAGGCACTCTGGTACATTGGCACGGCCGCTGCTGACCGATATCTGTCAGCTTGGTGGCGTTTCAGGGCTCTATGGAGCACTAAGGTAAGGGGGGGTGACCTGAACTGCTTCTATTCTTCTGGTAACGGCGATGCTTTTATTTTGACTCTTTAAAGTGACAGATTTCATACTGCAGTTAGCAGGAGCTATTGAAACATTAACCATTAAAACTGAATAGAGCTTCAGAGACAGCCTGTCTTCCATGGAAGGTAACCCTCATCTCTCCCATTGCTGCCCTTGTTGAGTCTGACGGAAGCTTCCGGATCAATTCAGTTCATTTTCTTTTTATGTGGTGCATTTTCACAATATTACATTGTCTCAAAGTGCGTTACATTATCCTGCCCAAAGCCCCCAGTGAGCAAACCAGAGGCGACAGTGGCAAGGAAAAACTCCCTGAAGGAAGAAACCTTGCGAGGAACCAGACTCAAAAGGGGGAGCCCATCCTCCTGGGACCAGCAGAGACGTCCAAAGTAACATAGTCCTGATCTAAACAGAATTGTAAATAGTCCAGGAATAAATGCGGAAGATCCAGTGGAGTTATTGAAGCCGAAGACAGGCGACTGACCACCATCAGGAGCTCCAAGACAGAGAGTTAAAGAGGGCATTAATGACACTGTGAGACAAATGGGATTATATGGAGGCTGTCCCAGGCAGCACAGGGCACCAGGATGGGGTACGCCCTGGATGGTGGATGGGGTACACCCTGTATGGGGTACGCCCTGGATGGTGGATGGGGTACACCCTGTATGGGGTACGCCCTGGATGGTGGATGGGGTACACCCTGTATGGGGTACACCCTGGATGGTGGATGGGGTACGCCCTGGATGGTGGATGGGGTACGCCCTGGATGGTGGATGGGGTACACCCTGTATGGTGGATGGGGTACACCCTGTATGGTGGTTGGGGTACACCCTGGATGGTGGATGGGGTACACCCTGGATGGTGGATGGGGTACGCCCTGGATGCTGGATGGGGTACACCCTGTATGGTGGTTGGGGTACGCCCTGGTTGGGGTACGCCCTGGTTGGGGTACGCCCTGGTTGGGGTACGCCCTGGATGGGGTACGCCCTGGATGGTGGATGGGGTACACCCTGGATGGGGTACACCTTGTATGGTGGATGGGGTACGCCCTGGTTGAGGTACGCCCTGGATGGGGTACGCCCTGGTTGAGGTACGCCCTGGATGGGGTACGCCCTGGATGGGGTACGCCCTGGATGGGGTACGCCCTGGATGGGGTACGCCCTGGATGGGGTGCCAGGTCATCACAGGACACATACCTGCATTGTAACATGCATGTTTCCCATTTACTCCAGGCATACAGAGCTGGGGAGGGACTCAGACTCCCGCTGCAGTGCTACCCTGCAAACCGCCACGCTGACATAATTTTGTGTCATTTTATTTAAAAATCTGAAAGCGCCCATCAAGGACTAATTTTTGTCAAAATAACTAAAATAGTGTTGATTGCATGACTGTTCTGATCCCTGCCCTCTGGCTGAAAACACTGAGCAGATGTTAAGGCTTTCAGAGTTTGTTTTTCTTTTTTTTCCCCCCTTCCTTGTAGTTTTTGGCAGCTTTCTCTAAACGCTCTGCTTTGCCGTGGCTTTGGGATCGCTCTGGGACGCCGTGTCTGTCCACAGACCCTTGGTAGTATTTTTAGTCGAGCCCCCAATCGGGTCACTTAAGGTCACTCGTAACAGTGGCGAGTAAGTGTGTAACTTTAACTTTAACTTTCAGAGCTGAAAAGTGTCGAAACTGCTCTTACTCTATTATTTGCTTTTACTGGAGGGAGATGTGTTTTTGCGTCGGCAAAGGTCTGCCGAACACTCGATATGCGAGGGGGAGACATCCGTCACACGATTGCACCTCAGTTTCTCACACGTCCTGGCAGATTTCAAAGGAAGCTGTTTCACATTGATCCCGGGAACCGGTTGGCTTCCCTGTCCCGCTTGGGATACTTCATTATCATTTTTATACGTCCTTTTTGCGATAAATCACATGTAACGGCTGCAGATTTCCCAGCAGCACCAATGCCACGCGTCTTTGCTGTCTATTTACACTTTTGCCACTTTGTCCCCAGCTGGCGAAGAAGATCCGCGAGAAGTTCAACCGCTACCTGGATGTGGTGAACCGCAACAAGCAGGTGGTGGAGGCCTCCTATACGGCCCACCTGACCTCGCCGCTGACCGCCGTGCAGGACTGCTGCACCATCCCACCCTCCATGATGGAGTGAGTCACATGACTCTGTCCGTTGGTCGTCGCTTCGCATGCAGTGGCTCGCGCCATAAATGCCGACTTCCGGTCTCTGGTCGCATAGCAAAATGTCTGACAGGTTGGTAGCGTTGGGGAACCGTTTATCGTAGTCAGACGCGCCTGTGGAATGTGGGGTCTTCAAAGAAAGTGTGGATGGAGATCTGGGTGGGGGGGATTGGCTGAGGGGGGGCCGCTTTTAACTTAATCTCCAGAGGAGCAGCTTGTGGTAGATCAACTCGCACGGGGACCAGCGGCGTCTCCGTTTCCTTATCGCCGTGTGACGGCCGCCATCGGGATTAGCCGGGAGTTGGAGCCGCAGATGGGGGGGGCGGATGGCACTAAACGGGTCTGCAGTCCGGTCCGTGCTTTTGCTCCTGCTGCCGCAGTCTCCGGTGGATCTTTCGGGAAGGTAGGCTGGGTTATATAAGACTCTGGTCTGGGAGTGAGGAGGCAGAAAGCTGAAGATGTCTTTTGAAGAAGCCCTGTGTGATAATGCGCAACCGGCTCCAAGACTTCAAAGACCTTAGAAACTCAGACATGCAGCTCATTTTGAGACCCGGTATTTAGTCTCAGGACGGGACTGGCTTTAGAACATGAAAAGTGGTTCCCCCCCAATACCCACACCCCAGCTCAAGGGCAGGAGGGAAAAAGTGAAAAGTGTTCTCTGGGTTTAGCATAACCAGAGTCAATCTTCTGGTCTTCTGGGTTTAGCATAACCATGGAGGATCTCATGATCAGGTTCCCAGGCATAGCTGGTTCCGTCTCCAGCTGTCTCATAAGATAAGCTAAGATATAACAGAACCTTATTAATCCCTGTGAGGGGAAATTTCTTTGTCCAGCATGACGAAATGGATAAATGCAACAACGGAAAACTTACGTAGAAATAAATACAGCAGATCATTTAATATTTATTTAGCAGATGCGCATCATTTTGAAATAAAAGGATTTTGTTTGAGATATCAGGCTCAATCAGGGGTTAAGGGCCCCGTCTCAAAGGCCCGCTGATGACATCACTCTGCTGACCCTGGGCCTTGAACCAGCAACCTTCTGATCACAGCCACAGCAACCTTACCTGCTGAGCCACACCACCCCTGCAGATGACATTACTAAAAGTAGGCAATAAAAATAGACAATAATAAAATTAAACTCCAAACAGAAGTGAACAGTGTAACCAATATACCGCTACAGTAATGACAATGCAATGCAAGATGGCTGCAAATAGGCTTATGTCCATTGGCAATGCAGGTGCCTTTAGAAGAGGCAGCATTGTATGAGCACACGGCAGGAGGTGAGGGGTGTCTGTGGCACTTAGCTTTGCCTTTGGGGGAGATGATCATGTGACTGAATGAATCTGCTCCTTACATACGATACCCCCTGTCGACAGCCTGGTCTTTATTGTACGTCACCGAATCTCATTTGTGCACCAATCCCCCCCCCCCAGCCCCCTTCTCTCCACTACAAACTCAACTCATGGGCCTGAAGAAACTTTTCCCTGTATTACCTCATCAGCAGATCTGGCTTTGCCGTAATCAGAGCCCAGCTACGGGCTGACTTTGTGCCATCAGTATGTCTAGCACGTTGCCATCATGAGCGACTAAACCACCGAATCCCCTGCCCTTTGGAGCCTAACGCACAGCCTTCGTGATGATATTTTTCAACTGGAATAATTCCAGACTCCTGCGGTGAGAGACATCAGCTGCCTGTAGTAAAGTAACAGATGTATGAGTCTGTGGCTGCTTGTTTTCTTAAAAAGAGGGAAAATCAGTCGTTTGTGATGGAAATATAGAAAAATAGTATAGCCAGGTACTCTACCCGTCTCTGGATTTTTATTGGTTGGCTCCCCCTTCGCTCACATTGTTTGTGTTTAATCCCCTCTAACCGTCAGAAGAGTAGGGATTAATTTGCCCCGTAACCAAATTAATGAAGTGTGTGTCTCGGGACGGAGCTGGAGAGGGCTTAAGCGACCTTTAAGGGGTTTATCGCGGGGCTGATAAGGAGCGCCCCCTCTGGCTGCCGTCTGCGCCGTTCCCTGGAATGCGCGTAGCCGCGTTTAGACGGACGTGCGGGATTAAACCGCTCTGCAGGCATGGGTGGGGGGGGGGCAGCAGCACCACTGCTGCATCTTAAATTTCCAACTGCGTCTCTGCTATGCGGCGCAGAAAGGAAGCCGGGGGACCCCCCCTCGCTCGGATCAGCGCCCATGTCCGCCAGGTCATCCCGGGTCACCCTGAGTGGTCTATGCAGACGCAGCTTCATGCTTCCAGTCACATAAAACACGGGCACGGCTCTTAAGTCATCGAACTTCTGTTTTTCTTTTTCCCGTGTTTGAAACATAAAAATAACGTGCTGGGCTCATTGGTCTTTAAATGCACCTGATTTGCCCAGTTTCAGGGGCTGCTGTTGAATTTAGAATCAGTACCACCTCCCCCCCAGCCTGAAATGTTTCCCTAGACCTTCATTTACATGGTGAATCCAAACTAACGCTGGAATAAACATAAAATGCTTCAAGGTTTTTTTTTATCTTCCTCTGTCTCTCCTCTCCTTTTTTTTTTGATGTAAAATTCAAAGCGCTTGCAAATATATATTTTTTTTTATCTTCCCAGTTTGCTTAGCCCCCACATGTAAAGTGTGCTGAAGGGGAATAGTAATGACTGTGGCCTGATGGGAATTAAATCTCTGAAGTTCAAAGCGGCTTGTACATCAGAGCGGCCGTCAATCAAGAGAGAGAGAGAGAGAGAGAGAGAGA